AAAATGTTTAAAAAAAAAAATGGTAAGGAGAGGGCTTGTGTGAGCAATGGTGACACACTCATCTCCCAGCCCACTAGTTCTTCCGTCTCAGCAGGATTAGATGAGCGCTTTAGGAGTTGATAGAACCAAGGCATGTACAGTTCTATGTAGGGTTTGATTGGTGAAGGCACTCATGCGTTCCTGCACACCCACAAAAAAAGTAGGAAACATCAGAAAAGACAAGGCCCAAAGCACAGAGATATACATAGTAAACAGAGAGCTCTCAGGAGTAGCAGGAACCATGGAGCCCTAGATTTCCAAGAACCAAAGGTGTTTTCCCATATGGGAAAGATCATACATCTCCTCATTCCTTTAGTGAGTGTTGGATTCATTCTGTTAGTTCTTATGCCTTTTATGTAAATGTGTCTGATTGATCAACAAAGTAACAACATCCATCTCCTAGAAAAAGACAGATTCCCCCTTTTTCTGCAGTGAGCAAATCCAGGACTGTTCTGTAGTACCACATCAGCTAGGGAATGAATTTGGGTTTGTAGCCTTAGAACAGGTGTCTCCTATTTTTTTTCCATGTCAACACTAAGGTCTCTTGATCATCTGTAGTAAAAATGAGGAGCAGTTCCAATGCCTCCCACCCCTCTCCCCAGAGCGGCCTCTAAGCTAAGTCCAATGAGGATGGGGTGACAGCTGCTCCTTTGTGTCTGTCAGTCTGGGTTGACTAGAGAAACAGAGACACTTCTACATGTGTAAGAGAGAACTTTGTATCAAAAAGTAATTATGTGTCAATAAAACATCCCAGCCCAGTCCAGATCTAGTCCATCGTTTTGATACTAGCCTATAAGTTTGATATTAGCCCATGAAATCCTCTTGAGACTTATGCAGCCCATGTGATGGTGACCAATGCAGGAAGATCCCAGGCCAGTGGGTTGGGAAGTCCTGTGGATCCAATGTCAGTGGACGCAACCACATGGGTCTGCCATCACCATGGCTCCATGTGGCTTGCCTACAGAAAGGTAAAGCAGAGAGTGTGTCTGACCTCCAGGGAGGAAGACAGGAAACTCCCAGAAATTTCATGAGAAGGCCACACTCACAAGGAGGCATCAACCAGGCTGTGACCTGATTGACAGGCTAGATTCCATCCCTATACCCTATTTATCAAGTTGACATGAGATTATGTAACTACCACAGCATCTACAGGAATTGTGGGGAGGCGATTCAGATTTGTATTGTTGTATGGTGTTTTCCATGTCTTGTTCCTCTAAGAAAGTTATGTCTGGAATAAGAAAGATTCTATCCAGTTAGCCTGTAGCCACGTAGGAAAAATCTTCCAGGCAAGGCACATGAAGCCTCGGTATTTGGCCAAAGAGGGTTTGACTACAAGAGCAGGTAGAGACATTGCCTCTGGGGTGTAACCCTTTAGAGGCCAGGGGGTAGAAAGTGTCTTGATTAAAAAAGGGAAGTACTTCAGTGGCCACTGGCCAGATGTTAGGGCATGCTTTCATTGTCTTGGCTATGTTGGGTGTTCCCCATGAAGATGGCATGGAAAATGCTCCATATTTTCTTTGTTGGAGGGAGCAGCATAACAAACACTGTGTCGTGAGCATTGTTTGGTTAAGAAGTTGCTGGTTGGTGTTAAGGAGAGATGACATTGATGCCTGGGAATCATCTCGTTGTGCTATTTGTCTGAGTCTGGCTAGACCGATTGGTTTTTTGGGAGCCGGGGTTTGAGCTAGCTCCAGGAGCCTTTTGATGCCAGTTGGGGCTATTTGTTTAATGGCTTGTTTGCTGGCCATACCTTTTCCTAAGCTTTTTAGGTTCAATATTTGGTCTCGTAAGAACATTTGGTCTCATATGTGGGTATCAGGCCACTAGAGTTAAGTTAGGGGAGATGGAGGCAAGGAGGCCTCAGTAAATGAAAAGTTACTATTGTCTTGAACTTAATAAGAATAACTTTGCCCAGTAGGGAGATGGGGTGTTGTCGATGACTGGAAACTGGTGTGAGCATTGCACATTAAAAGGCTACGTAAGAGTGACCGTGTAATGAGGGCTTGTGAGACTACCTCTAAGACTCCTGCAATAGTGAGGGGGCTGAGGCAGTCCGTCCTGAATGTTCAGAGAGTGTTGGGCAAGTGACCCTTGTGTCCAAAAGGAAGGACATACGCTTTCCTGAGATGATGATCAACACCCTGGGCTCATGCTGGGTGATCTGTGTGAAGGCCGTTGACCTTGGGCACCGCCAGTCCTCTAAGGTCAAGCCTAGAAATGCTGACCAGGAGGCATCTTGAGCTGGTTGCTCTGGTAGTGTGATGAAAGAGACTATCCTTCCCACCTTGTGGTGGAAAAGGCAATCAATACACCTTGTTTTCAGTGTGGGCATGACTTCAGTGAGGGTCGAGGACTGGGGCATTCTCATGCCCAATGTCCTATCTAGGAACATTTGAAGCAGGGTTCAGGTGGCTTACTCATTTGTGGCTCACTGTTTTCTCCTTTGGATCCACCCATTTTGCCCTGAAGGGTGTTAGCCAGCCTCTGATATTTAGTTTTGTCCCTTTCTAATTTATCTAAATTTTCTTGTTCCTAATGTTTCTTGGAAACCTTCAAGGCGACATTGAGAAGGTATCCTTGTGGAGTATGGGGAACTTCAGGTTCGTTAAGCTTCTTCTTCGTGTCAGGAGCTGATTGTGAGATCAAGTGTGAATGAAGAAAAGTGGTGCCAGCTGGTTTTGAGGATCAGCCCTGGTGAACTTTTAGACAGCCTCTGAGAAGCAGGGAAAACACTGAGCAGGATTTTCTTTTGGGTTTTGAAGGATTCCTCTAATCTTGTCTAAACTGACTGCTTTATTTGCCAGCTCTTGTCAGCCCTCAATGAGTGCTTAACCATTCTGAGAGTTCGGTACCCATGACCAAGTTGATCATTCCAGTTAGGCTTTCCTTGGGGAACTATATCAGTGCCAACCAGTTTATCCTGGTCCTGGGCATGAACTCCTTCACCTCTCTGCTATGCCGCTCCCCATACTGCCTCCCTGTCTTCAGGGAATAGAGTAGTTGTAAGACTCATATAACTCACACCAGGTAAGTTTGTAAGACTGAGTGAGATAATTGAATTCTTGAATATATTGATCCGGTTCAGAGGAAAAGTGTCCCAGGTGTTTTTTGAGAACTGACAGGTCAGGAATCCGAAAAGGGACCTGGACTCCCACAAGTCTCTCAGCTCTTGCACCCTCATGGAGAGGGAGAAGGGGGATAGGCCGTGAAGGTGGAATTTTCAGATATATAAAAGAGGTTTTTGAGCAGGGAAGGGTTGAGCATGAATGGATGAGGGGTAAAGAAAGTGGTGGTAGAGGGGAGGTGGAAGATGGTGTAAATGATGGCAGTAGCAGGAGGGAAGATGGTGATGAAGAAGTTGGAGGAGTGACAATGAAGAGGATGGCAGATGAGAAAATGGCGGGTAAATCAATGGCTAATCAGAAGAGGCAGAAGTAACTGGAGGGGGCAAGGAAGAGACTGGAGGAGGGTTATAACGAGGAGGAATGGAGAGAACTGGAGCAGGAGGGGAAGGAGGACAGGGGCAGGTGTAGACAGAGGGGCACAATTGGACTGATCAAAGGAAGATGAATTGTCTGGGATTCAGGCTTTTGTTGAGCCAGCACATGTTGGGAAGTGGGGCAATCTCGGCACAGGGAGGGCTGAGAGCCTGGATGCAGGGAACTTCCAGGCACTTGCAGTTATATTGACAAATATTATCCAGGGCCTGCAAAATGTTAAAATCTAAATAGCCGATTTCTGGCCCTTTTGATTCATTTACCTAGTTTGTATTGAGCCAAACCTGATTGAAGAAAAAAGATCAGGCATTTAGGCTTAATGTCTGGGCACAGACCCAGAGGTTTAAGATTAGCAGGCAGGGACCTCAGAGGCAAGTCACGTCAGTCTGGTTTGACTACTCCACAATGGGAGGGGAAGTGAAATTTGAGCTCTGAGGAGAAAGAAGGCTCAAGGAGTTTCCTCCTCCTCCTCCTTGTTCTTTTTTTTGCAAATCAATAACTTTTTGTGGGCAAACCAATACCCAAACCAATAAAACGAAAGCTCCATTGTATAGCCTGGCTATACCAGATTTTGCTTTACAATGGTCAAGCAATGGTGTTCATTTGAATCAAATCAATTGTTAGTGTCTTCTCTTGCACATCCATTTTTCAGACCTCAGGGGGCACCTTTGGCTGGTGACTACCATCCTGTGTAGTGCTCCTGCATAGCATTAATATCACAGCCTGATGTTCTATTCAATATAGCACCTTTTGATATGTCTAATCCCCAAATCTCTTCTAGGTGGAAAATGAACTTACTTATGAGAGATTCCTGGAATGGACCAGGGATGACAAAATGGATACAAGAGAAGTGGATGTTTTTCTTCCTAGATTTAAACTGGAGGAGAGTTATGACCTGGAGAACTCCCTTCCCACGTTGGGCATGGTTGATGCCTTTGATGAGGCCAGGGCAGACTTTTCTGGTATGTCCCCCAAGAGGGACTTGTTTGTCTCCAAGGTGGCACACAAGGCTTTTGTGGAGGTCAACGAGGAAGGCACCGAGGCAGCAGCCACCACTGCTGTCATGTTTCAACTGTACTGTGGAAGCATCGCCCCAAGGTTCTGTGCCGACCACCCCTTCCTGTTCTTCATCCAGCACACCAAGACCAACTGCATCCTCTTCTGTGGACGGTTCTCCTCTCCGTAGGAATCATCATCCTGGGAGGGAAGTCGCTACTGTCTTTCCCCTGCAGACCTACTTCTCCTTTATCTACGACATTACATGGAGCCCAGAACCCAAAGTGACCTTAGTGCAGATAGAACCATTCAGAAATAAAAGTATCAATTTTAAATCTCCTGTTTAGAACTCTGTGTGTGTTTATAGGCTAATAATTTCCTCAGATCTGTAATCTTAATCTTATCCTCATTAGAAGTTTTTGTGTCAGGGAACAGCTTTGACTAATGGTCTAGAATGCAGGAAGAAGGTATACAGGTGCAATGCCACCTTCCAGGTGCATGACTTATGGTGGCTGTGTTCTGTTCGGCATCTGTGGTGTCCTACATGGTAGTCTATACGACTCTAAGGAAGCTTTTAAAATGATAAAAATCAGTGTTCTTGTGATAATAATTTCCATCCCAAACAATTACAACAGTGATTCAATGTTTAAAACCGTATCGTGATTTGTGAGTTCATCATCCCCATAGTGAAATTTGGAGCGTTTCATCACGTCCAGAAGTGCTCCATTCTCACTCTCTCTCCACCTGTGTTCCCATCACCTTGCCTCATTCAGATCCCAGCAACCACTAACCCATTGTGTCTATAGATTCCCCATCATCAGGCTTTCCTATGAATGGAATCTGGCAATACGGGATCTTTTGCGATTGCTTCTTATCCCTTAATACAATATTTTCAAGGCTTATCAATGTGGTACACGTACCACTTAACCATGCCTTTTATGGTAAAACCCTTACCAAAACAAAGAAAACAACTCCATTATATAGTATGGCTATGCCACATTTTGTTTCACAATTGTCTAACTATGAAATCAACTGGAATCAAATCAACAGTTAAAGGCTTCTCTCACCCACCCACTTTCCAGAGGGGGCATCTTTGACAAGTGACTACCATCTTGTGCAGTGTTCCTGCAGAGCCCTGTGTTAGTCTGGGTAGACTAGAGAAACAAATTCGTTGACATTCATATAAGAAAGAGCTTTATATAAAGAGTAATTGTACATTAAGAAAACATCCCAGCTGAGTTCAGATCAAGTCCATAAGTCCGATTTTAGCCCATATGTCTGATACCAATCTATAAAGTCTTCTTCAGACTCAGGAAACAGATAAAATGATGCCGAATGCAAGAAGATCACTGGCCAGTGGGTAGAAGGTACTGTGGATGCGGTGCAAGCATCTCAGCACTGCAGGGGTCTCCAGTTGGCTCTTCTGGCTCCAGAACACTAGTGTAGCTCCATGTGTCTACTCAATAAAAATGTCTCACAGGGAGTGAGCATGTGTTCCTCCTCCAGTGAGCTATTTATCTCCTTGGTGCCTACAAATGAGGTCATGAAGCTGCGACCTGATTGTCAGGCTAACCTCTACGCCTTCTCACTAATACGCTCAAATTGACAACAGATTATGTAATTACCACAAGCATTAACATCACAGTGTGATGTTCTATTCAAGAGCACTGTTCTGTATCTTTAAATCCCCAAATCTCTTCTTCTAGGTGGAAAAGGAACTTACTTAGGAGAGTACTAGAATGGACCAGGGCCGACAAAATGCATACAAGAGAAGTCAATGTTTTTCTTCCTAGATTTAAACTGGAGGAAAGGCATGCCCTGGAGAACTCCCTTCCCACGTTGGGTATGGTTGATGCCTTTGACGAGGCCCTGGAAGACTTTTCTGGAATGTCCCCCAAGAGGGACTTGTTTGTGTCCAAGGTGGCACACTAGGTTTTTGTGGAGGTCAGTGAGGAAGGTACGGAGGCAGCGGCTGCCTCGGCTGTCATGGTTCAACGGTACTGTGGTAGCATCACCCGGAGGTTCTGTGCCGACCAGCCCTTCCTTTTCTTCATCTGGCACACCAAGACCAATGGTATCCTCTTCTGTGGACGGTTCTCCTCTCCGTAGGAGACATCATCACTGAATTTAGAGGATCCTTCTCCTTTCCCCTATAAACCTACTTTTCAACTACTTTCTACTGTGCCTAGAACTCAAGGTGATCTTATTAGTTGAGAGGGGACATTTCAGATATTAAAGGCTGAATTTTGAATCTCATAGTCAGAACTCTGTGTGTATATTTGCATGGTAATGTTTCCCTCAGCTCTGTAACTGACATTTTCTGATGGCTTGTGGTCTCTTTCGCAGGGGTAGCACAGAGTCAGTATTGCCCTTGGCTTGAAGTCATGTGTCCTGCACATTCCTCAGCCAGTGATGGTATTCCAGCTGTCACAGGCCTGTCCCCTGTCTGCCTTGGGCAGAGAGCCCCTCCCTGTCTCAGCAGGACACTGTGCTTCTCTTCTCTGGGATCACACATATAAATATGTCTTTTCTCGCTACTCCATGGCATTATGATTCTGCCCCATTGGTAGTGAGAGAATACAGAGTGAAAGGAATAAATAGGAGGCAGGGGCCAAGGAGGACCCAGAAACCCTTAATGGAGAGCTCTGTTTTGGAGCTTTCGATGAGCACTTCGTGTCTTGTCAAGAGCAGGAAGAGCAGATAATTCACACCTATGAGGATCCAGTCCCTTTCTCTGTGAGTGTCTGCTCTGTGTGTTACTGGCACTCATATGTTTCTGTGGCTCACCCATCTATGCAAACGGACACATATTTCAGTTTACCTGACCTGTTCACAGTGCTGTCCAGAGGACAGGATGGTCTCCCACGTTTTTCAAGTGATGTCTCTTCAACATCCTGAGCCAAAGTCTGATGACTCTGATTTTTTTCAAGTATTAATAATTGAAAAAAAGGGAAAGTTTCTATGTCTATTTGTGTGTTTGGCTGAATTTTGATGGAAGATTATAGTTGAGAGGAGCAACCGTGCTTGTTTCTAGGGGACGACTGAAAAAACTCCTTCCACTGACGCACTTGCAGCCCACAGGAGCCTTCACCCCTCTAGGTGGATGCAACTCCTATGTTCGTGTGTGTGTGTGTGTGTGTGTGTGTGTGTGTGTGTACAGAACTGGACTGACCTCCTTAAAGAACAGCTGAGAGAGGAGACCCAATAGACTGCTACTTTAGTTGCACTCGTCCAATTTCACTGTCTTGAAGTAGTTCCATTGTTTAAAGAAGAACAAAAAACATCCAGGGGACTTGGAATGAGGATTCAAGGAGAGAATGCTTGGTTGCTGTCATTTCTTGATTGCAGAGAAAGCCTCTGGGTGACACACCCAATAGTCACAGCCTAGATGGACACTCCTCCCTGGGGGAGGCTGTCACCTCACAGGGCCCTGCAGGTAGTGGACTTCATCTCCTTCATTGGCCAGGGGCCTTAGTGAAACGGTGTCTCACCCTCTAAGGATCCAGGTGATTTTCTTTGCTGAGATAAATAAATTAACACCACACCAGTAGTAGATTATAGATATGAATGTCTCTGGTTCTATTTCCTATGGGCTCATAAAACAAGAACTCATAGGTATGCAAAAAATCATAATAAACAGCAGGTCAAAACCATCCGTAAGGAAGAAGGATGAGCCTTTCTACCACAGTAAAGACTTCGTCTTGGAAACTCACAGCGACAATTCCACCCTGACCATACAGTCACAATGAGTTGGAAATGACTCGATGGCAGTGAGTTTGTTTTTTTAACTAATCCCTCAAAAGGGGATTGCCTATCCCTGCTTCTTACTCTCTTCTTTGCATAAAGCTCCTCTGTTACCTGTTTTCTGTGGGTGACCCTGCTAGTGTTTGAAATATTGGTGGCATTGTTTCTAACAACACCCAAGCCACGACCATGCACAATTTGACGGCTGAGTGAGGTGAAGTAACTAAGAAGCGTCCAAACACAGCTTCGAGGCAAGTGACCAAGGAAGCTCAGTGAGGGAGGCCCGAGCAGTGAAGAGCCTCGAGGAAAACTAAGGTCCAGAGTGAGAACCACAAACCACAGACTCTCCCTGACTTCTTTTGGAACTCTCTTCCAGACCTTGCAGGGAAATATCATAGAATGGCTTCTACCCAAGACCACTCTCAAGTGTTAAAAAGCAAAGCTGTTCCTTTGAAGTCAAAGATGCTCGCTCCATGTCACAGTGTTTTCAATAGCCTCATTTGCAAGTGAATTCATATCCAAAGACTAAGGATGAGAGAATTGATGTCTCGAAAGGAAGATGTTGGTGGAGAATATAGAAAAGAGATTGTGAAAAGAGTTGTATGAGCCCTTAATAAAATGATTTAAAAAAGAGAGAGAGAGTGTCATGGACTGTCTGATGAGGAAAGAAATCTGCCTTGGGAGAATTATGGGCAGAAGTCTCCTCATAAGTGAGGGTGGGAAGATTTCATATCATGCATTTTAGTCAAGCTTTCAGCACGATTCTGACCCTGGAGAAGGACATCATGCATGCAAATAGAAGCTGAACGAAAGAGAGGCAGATAGTCAACCAGATGGCCTGACACCATGGCTGTTACAATAAGCTCAAGTATAGCAGAGGCTGTGAGGGTGGCGCAGCAGGGCGAGGCAGCTGTCCACTCTGCTTTCCATCAGATTGCTTTCAAATGGGTGGGAAAGCACCTACCACCACCACTACCACCTGAAATAAAAGTGAAAATACCAACCAGACAGACTAGACAGAGACCCTAGTGATCGGTGACTTGATTTGAATGGAGAAGAACATCTCAGGAAAGGAGGGTAAGGGTGGTGACACAATTCAAAGAGCATAATCAACGTCACCGAAGAGCACATGCAGACATGGCTGAGTGGCCTGTGCCTGCTGGGATTCTACTCAGTTGCAATGACACACATTCTCAAGAGTAGGGAGAGCTGGCGTGTGGAGAGATGGTAGGAAAAGTCTAGGAAAGGCTCACTGATTCTGACAGCAATTGCAAAAGAAAATTTTGATCTTACTTTTAAATGAATAAAATCTAGGAGGCATCTTACAACAGGAGCTACTGCCTCAATATGACTTAACTTTGAGTGAACCATTCAAGGAAAACCACAAAGAGCAAAGCACCCCTTGAAAGCAAAGAAACATCACTGCAATCCAGTTGCTGCCAGCTCATAGTGACCCAATAGGACAGGAGAGACTTACCCTGTGTGTTTCTGAGACCAGAATTCTTTAAGGGAGTAGAAAGCCTAGTCTAGTCTTCTCTGGAAGAGAGGCTTGTGTTTTTGAATGACTAACCTATAGGCTACCAGCTCGACAGGGTAGCCTGTTGTCCCTTAGAATGTGCATACATTGGAGGCTTCATCTTCAAAGACCATAGTCTATGAGAGTATCAGTATGTCCTAGGACAATGAAACGAATCAATAAATGTAGTAGAAACCAGACAAATGAAATCACTGTGTCCAGTGCCATAAGATGTAGCTTCCAAAAGCACACATAGGCTTTCTATAGCTACCTAGTAGGTATAAGGAATCTTGGATCATGAACATGGTTAATTTTTTAGCTACTTAAATGGGAAGGTTGGTGGTTTGAGTCTGTATGGAAGAATGGCCCGCCAATGTATATATATATAGATCTATTCCCATCAGTCCCTATGTATCAATTCCAACCAGAATGCATGGGGGTTGTCCTACAGCACAGTGGACTCTTGGGCTTCTAATGGATTGTTTTGGGGTTCACTTGTAATTAACGCACTTGCACAGCATTGCTCCGAAGATGGGCTTTTTAACAAGCAGAGCAAGAAGCCATTGCAGGGTTTGGGTGGGTGTGTTAAAATGGAATTCCTATTTCTCCACTCCCAGGATAAACTCCAGTGAGCAATCTAAGTATTAAAACATCATACACCCCCACACACCCCCACACACTGGAAAACACTGGTGAACTCTCTTCTTCAGAAAACGCTTTTCTAATTGTGACTCATCTGCAGAAGCAATAAAGGATTAATGCCAGTCAGTTTGACTGCCTAAGGAAACCACATGCCAACTCTGCCTTAAGGGACCTCTGAGAGCTGGTCTGAACCAGAGCCCCTCCATCCACTCACGCCCTGCTTCCCTGACTAGGAAGGCCCCGCCCTGCCTGGGGACTTCCTGAGGGAGCCTTTATCTACTCCCAAATATGCCTCCACCCTCCAGCCTGGTTCCTACTGCTTCTGCTTCGCAGACTTTGGGGTACGTATGCGGTTGGGGTCCTGCTACCCTCGCGGGGTGCAGTTTCGCTTTGTCCTCTGGACTAGGAAGAGCGGGAGGGAGGGAAGTGCCAGCCTACCCCGCGGGGATCCCAGTTCCAGATCCACATCTGGACCAGGGTCTCCAGAGGGAGGTGCCAGGGACAGCACGCAGAGCAGGGTGGACTCCCAGGCTTGATTGCCAAGCAGCTGAAGAACAGAGGGGAAAGGGAGATATTCCCCTAAGGAAAGCAGAGTTCTAGAATAAAAAGAATGTGCCCTAGTAGAAGGCTCAGTGGGATTTCCCAAGTCTATTTAGTCAAAAGCCCACACTGGGGAGGGGACGAAAATTAATCTGATCCCCTGTACCAGGCAGGCAAGTAGGCAGAGCAAGTCTCCCACTGCTCCACAGGGCTTGTGCACAGTGGGGTTTGTAACATGGCAGGGAACGCCAGAAAGAGGGTCCAAAACCTTGTGAGTGGTGCTTCCCGGCAAGTTGTGAGTGGTAGGAAGGAGTGTGTCACGTTGTGTACTATCTCTCTGTAGCTTTCATCTAAGTTTTCTATAAGGACCTGCGGACTAAAAAGAAATATTACTGAAAATGCTAAAGGTCATAACACAGAACAGGGAGGCATAAAACATATCATGGAAAAGTGAAATTAAAATAATAGATTTGATTTCAAGAACATTTTGTAACCTCCTCATTTTAATAAAAATAATGCATGAGACATTGCAGAATGGACAGAACACTATAAATACTATAAAAAACTAACCAGACACATTTGTTGTCTGACATTTCTGTTTAATCTTTCAATGATGGTCACAGCTTTGCATAACTAAGATGAACTTCTTATTACATTTTTCTCTTCCATCATTGAGCGTCATAATGCACATATCCATGGCCTTATGGTTTTATTATTATTTTCATTTCAATCCCACCTGTAGAGGACCGAAACTAGGAACACGTCTTCCAGTTAGGGTTTGGACACAAGTGGAAATGTCTAAGATGATTGAAGGTCAGCGGTGCTTGTGCTTAAGGCTCTCATGCAACCTTTTTTGTCGTTTGATTTATCCTTCATATTAAGATTTCATGTTATTGTGAATATGGGGTTGTTTGTTAAACAGTGTAATATATTGAATCATCTTTTCTTGCTTTATTTTGTGGGTGACTTTACTATATTGAAATATATTTGTGTGATCAAATCATATGTGGGGGCTTCAAAATGTTCATGGGAAAACAGATGAACAGATAGGGGAGCTTTCTCATAAACGTTTGAAGCCTCTTGGGAGATGCAAGCCCTCCCACGAATGCTATAGAGATGCCACTAAGAACACCCTCAAAGCAGTGAATGTGATGGTTTCCTGCCTCCCCTACTCTGTCTTCGCAAACACTTACTCAGATTTTAGTGCCTCTGCATTTTCCCTTTTATAAAACTGCCATAAATCCACGCTGACTTGTAACAACCCCACAGGACAAGGTAGAATTGCTCCTGTGAGTTTCTGAGACTGTAACTCTTTACAGGAATTGAAATCCCATCTTCTCCATTAGAGCAGCTGGTGGTTTCAAACTGCTGACCTTGCAGTTAGCAGCTCTGCTTGTAATCACTACAGCACACAGAATAAATGTGGGTGGTCAAGAAAGAAAAAACTAAAAAGTTTTGGGTTTTTTGCAGCATCCTAATTTTTCATTGTGTTCCCCTGGTGGTGTAAATCCATAGTGGTCCTAGCTGCTAACCCAAGTCGACCTAGAGACTATTTATTTTAGAAAAATTAGTAAATCAATAAATTAGCCATTGAAGTCTTTTGAGGCCCAGTTCTTCTATGACACAGAGGGGTTACGATGAGTCAGCATCAAGCAATGACAGCCAGGTTATTTGCTCATGACAAGTGTCGACTAGTGGGTCAACATGTACTCAATGGCTTCGGTAATAGTGTTTTTTCCTCTTTCAGGTTCAACATCATGGACGTCCTGTCAGAATCCAACGGCATCTTTGCTTTAAAGCTTTTTAAAAAGCTGGGTGAAAATAATACAGGGAACATATTTTATTCACCTTTGAGCATTTCCTCTGCCTTGGCCATGGTCCTCATGGGGGCAAAGGGGAACACAGCTGCCCAGATGTCCCAGGTACTTAAAGCCATTTCAAGGCAACAGCAAATGGACTTCTATTTTGATTGAGTGGGTGTTTTCATTTCAAATCCCAATGACATGGCTTTTAGCAGAGAACTGGGGCGGGGGGTGGGGGGGGGGGGGGGGTGTCAGTAAAGAACTTGTTATTCACGGCAAGATCATCCTATGGTGGGCTTCCTCAGGATTCTATCTTTGAGGAGAAAGTGTAGATACTCTATCAGAAGATTGATTTTATGATCACATTGGGGCAATAGATGAGTTTGTGAGTAAACAAAGGGTTACGTCAAAGCTGATTCATGGGACAGGGTAAGATTTATAGACTGAAAAGCAGTTTAAGCTGTCCTACTCCCAGGCACACATACATCCATTACACAGTAGGAGACTGGGAGAGGAGTACTCTAATAGACTCAGACATTCTCAAAAGCCAGGATGTGGTCTGGCATGTGGAAGGCATAGAGAAGTTTTTCAACCACAGTGACTTTGAAATGCAGCCAAGTACATGTTGATCTCTGCTTTGAGAACAGAGAACATTCCATGATCCGTCACTATTTGTAATTTCCGTGAGTCATCCTAATTTACTGTTTTCCTTGGTATTAATTTTCATCTTTGTTCTTGACTCCCAAAACTAAACCAAACTCAATGCCACGGAGTCAATGGTGATTCACAGAGACCCCCTGTGGGAGGTCTGTAACTATTTATGGGAGTAGAAAGCCCAGTCTTTCTCCTGAGGAGCTGTTGGTGATGAGAGCTCCGATTTTTCTTCTTTTTTCTATAAGAAATCACTCACGTTTATTACTAGGTAACTCTCAGCCTGTTTCCTGCCCATAGAGAGTGGGCCCCGGAGGCCTCTGTTCCCCAAGCATCTGTCACTCCTTTTTAGTCCAACGCATCGATGTTCAGTAAAGAAGATCTTCTTCCACAACTCTATCATGTGTTCCCCAGCTTTCTTTCTGTCACCAGGCCAGATTTTCCAACAACTGTCCCTTCTTCTTTGTTTCCAACTTTCTCATTCCAATCACCGTAATTATTGGCACATTTCGATTGTTTGATCAATTTCAGACTGAAGAAGTAGGAAGAATCTTTCATTTTCTTCATCACTAGTTTTAGTGGTCGATGCATAAAGTTGATTATCAGTGATAGAGTATTGGGTTTCTTTGTATGTGGATAGATATCATCCGATCACAGAGCGAATTGCCCTTTCGAGCTAGGTCTTGAACTGATCTTTTTGTCAATGGATGTGATACCATTCCTCTTGAATTTATCCCTCCTAGCAGAGTAAACCATCTGCTTGTCTGATTCAGAGTGGCCAATAACAGTTCATTTCAGCTCACCAATACCGATCTGTACACTGGCCACCTCACTTTGGACACATCTGTTTCCTAGATTCATAATTTGTACATTCATCTTCCAGTTCTTAACGCACGTTTGCATCTCTTTCTTCTCATTTTGAGAAGTGCCACATCAGGAAATGTTATATTCTGAAAGCTGTGCTTCATCCGCATCATTATGGTTGACTTGACTTTGAGGGGCATGTGTTTCGAGTCGGCAGCTGTTTCCCTGTGGTATTTGGAATCCCTTCCGACCTCAGGGGCTCAGCTACAGGCACTCTATCCGACAGTGTTTCCCTGCAATGCCTTAGATGTCCAGTGACGAACCCCTCCGAAGTGGCCACCCTCTTCTTTCTTGTCATCGGCTCTTAGTCGGGAAGTTCTGCTGAAACCTGTTCACCTTGTTCAAATGACCCTGCTGGCATTTCAGATACTGGCATGTCCAGCACCACAGCAAACTGCAAGCAGCCACAGTAAGTCCAACTAACTGAGAAGTCATGGTTAAGGTCTGTAGCACCCCGATCAGGCCAAGAGGGTCTCTGAAGTCCTGACTCCGTTCTTGTTAGGTTGGATCCTGGACCCTATTAGGTTGGTGTCTGGGCCCTGAGGTCAGTGCCAAGCATTTGGTCTTTGTCCTGAAAGCATTCTTAACTTTTAGTTGATTTACCAGCTGCAGAGTTTGGGAATACCAAACATTTTTACTCTCCACTCAGCTTATCTTGAGTTCTAAATGATTCTTTCATAGCCTGCTTAATAATCGACCGATCCCTTTGTAAGCTCCTTTTCTCACTCGATACTCGATCCAGTTGTTGCTGGGTTGTATGGTGCCATAGAGTTCATTCCGACCCCTGTTCGCCTCAGTCCCACGTTGAGAGACCCTTCAGGGTGCTGTGCCCTCCCACGGAGGCACCGATCATTCAGCTTTCATCCACTTACCACGATGCCAGAAGTTTGAACCCATCAGTCACTCTATCTGCCCATCTTATTCTGTACAAATTACAGCCTTAGAAACTCATGGGGCAGTTCTACTCTGTCCTTTGGGGTCACTATGACCCCAATAGGTTTATAGGTGTATAGTCATACTTCAACATTTATAGATAAAACGAGTCAATTAGTTCTTGGAACATTGCTCCTGGACATCTTTTCTTAACTTATGAATCCATTCAGGAGATTTTCTAAATTGTCTGTTACTTAAGGTAATAACATCTTTAGTTCTTATGCCAATATATGGCCTGAGTCCTAATGTGTCCAGCTCCTTAGTAATTTTTTCATTCTCATTCCACCTTCTTCTGCAAACAGACTGGTTTTGCTTCCAACCTCTGTCAGTCACATGGTTCCTAAGACAGCGCCACACGTTTTAGACATGTGTTAGGGCAGTTCTCCACTTTTAAGTACAATTACTACCTGTTTCATCTCTTACTGCAATACAGATATCCTGAAATTCTCTGTGGTTTAAAATAATAATGATTACCTTATTTTTAAGTTCTGTGTGTGGACTGAGAAGTCCTTTTGCTCGATTGGAGTTCAACTGGGGTCATTTGTGTGGCCCCTCTCCGTGTAATAATTTGCTGGCAGGCTCACAGAGGATCTTCTGAGAACGAGGGTCCTTGGGACTGGCAATTGAGTGGGGACTAGATTCTCCATAGAGAGTCATTTCTTCTGGGGTAGTCGCACATGAATTTTCCATAAAGGTGGCCAGATCACAAGAGTGTGAGTGTGGAAGCTGACATATGTTTTAAGGACTAGGTATGTCATACTGTCCCATCAATTGCATTCTGCTGGTCAAAGCAGGTCTCAAGGCCAGTCTAGATCCAGTAGGAGGGAAAGGGGCCACAGCCTTTGCTGTCAGGAACTAATGCCTAGTTACTTTGGAGGGCAGCTGGGCAGTCATGTTTGTAGTCAAAGTACTCCACATAGTGAGCATGAATACCATAGTTATTCTGTTAGCATTTATGAATGTATTTCTACTGCTAACAATAGATTCTGGTTTCCTACTGTATTTGATTATAGGGAAACCTTCGAAGAGTAACAGATAAGGATACTATAGGACATTTAGACAGAGTTCATCTTTAATGAGCTGCTCATCATTCAAGCTGTACTACGTATCTGTATGCTGAAAATGCTGAGTGTGGTGTAGGGCGGTACCAATTCTTGAACTCAGGGACACTGAAGATGTGTATTGCTATTCCGGTTTCATTGCAGGCACTTTCACTGGATAAAGTTGGAGGTGGAGGTGCAGATGTGCACCAAGGCTTCCAGTGGCTTCTCTCTGAAGTCAACAAGCCTGACACTCAGTACTTGTTGAGAACCGCCAACAGGCTCTTTGGAGAAAAGACTTATGACTTCCTCTCAGTAAGTTTTGCCTATGGATTTTCACTAGGGAACTGGAAGCAGCATAGCAGTGGGAGGGAGGGACGGTGTGGGAGAGACCCAGAGGAGAGCGGGCTGTGACTTCCGGTCTCCAGTCACAGACCACACCCAGCTCCTCTGTCTGCTGAGATGCTGTGTCATCAGAGAAACGGGCTTCCTAAGGAATATTCTATGTGTTGATTGTGTCTGTAGGTGTGCACTGATGTCGCTGTCTGTCCTAGCCTTTCAGAGATTCCTGCCGCACCTTCTACCAGGCAGACATGGAAGAGCTGGACTTTGCTAATGCTGCAGAGAAGTCCAGAGGGCACATCAACTCCTGGGTGGCCGAGAAGACAGAAGGTGAAAAGAGATTTTCCTTCTGTTCCAGTAATTTATAATCAGTCTGAACGCAGTTCCCTCACACACTGCCTACTGTAAACAGCAATGATTATGCTCTCTCTATCACTAAGCACATTTTTTTCAGACATATTGTCTACCCCTGACATGCTCTCCTGTCTCTGGGCTGCCCTTCACTCTTCAGTGGACCTCTTCTCCCCAATCCCCAGTCTGTTCTGACTCTGTTCCTATGTAGCCTTTCTTTCTCACGAGCACAATACGGAAAGTCCTCGGGGGGATTCAGACTGGCTTGTGTCTGTGCTCTGCAGCACATCCACACCGTCTTTTCTTCTTCTTCTTTTAATTAAAATATGATTTTATTGGGGGCTCTTACAGCTCTCGTTACAATCCATACATCAATTGTGTCAAGTGTATTTATACATATGTTGCCATCATTATTTTCTAAACATTTACTTTCTATTGAGTTCTGGGTATCAGCTCCTCTTTTTTCCCTCCCTCACCCTCCTGACCCCTTGATAAATGATAAAATGTTATTATTTTCATATCTTACACTGACCACTGTCTCCCTTCCCCCACAGTTTCTGTGATTCGTCCCCCTCGCTGTGGGGAGGTGGTGGTCACACACTCTGGTCTTAATGTCCATGCTTCTCAACAGTTGCCACAGCATTTCCCCCTTTGACCATCCATTGAATTCCTTTCTTTAGTGAGAGCCAAATGAAGGTCGAACAGGATAGTGAGACTGCAGGAAAGTAAAAAGAAATGGAGGAAAGAACTAGGAGGCAAAAGACATTTACAGAGGAATAAAGGTAGACATGCACATATGTAAATATATTAATATATAACAATAGAGCTATAGGTCTATGCACATATATTTAAGTGTTAAGTATTAAGGTAGCAGATGGGCATTGGGTCTCTACTCAAGCACTCCATCAACAGAAAAACACTTTGTTCTAATCACCTGGCAGTCTGTGATGCTCACCTTCCCAACACAATTGGTGCATAAGTAACGTGGTGAAGAAAGCTGCTGATGCCTAGCTATCAAAAGATATAGTATCTGGAGTCTTAAAGGCTTGAAGTTAAACAAGCGGCCATCAAGCAGGGAAGCAACAAAGCCCACATGGAAGAAGCACACCAGCCTATGTGATCACGAGGTGTTGACAGGATCAGATATCAGGCATCAGATGACTCAAAACAAGCAATAATATCAATGCAAATGATGGGGGTCAGAGTGGAGACCCAAAGCCTATCTTTCGACATTCCCTAACAGAAGGGTCACAGGCAAGCAACGAGCAAGCCAGGGTGCAGTATAGCAGCAAGGGTATACACAACATCCCTCTAGTTCTTTAATGCTTCCTCCTCCCTGCCCCCTGCCCCTCTAACCCCCACATCATCATGATGCCAGTTCTATCTTACAAATCCAGCCAGACTGGAGCATGTACACAGGTACAGATAAGAATCCATGACAGATAAACCCCTCAGAAACAGTAATGGGAGTAGCTATAACAGGAGCATCAGGTGAGATGGGGTGAGAAATGGGGAAATGACTACAATGATAGACATATAACCCCCAGTCCCCTGGGGACACACGACAGAAACATGGGAGTAGGGAGACAGTAGATGGTGTAAGATATGAAAATAATAATAATGTATAACTTATCATGGATCCACAAATGTGGGAGGGTGGGTGAGGGAGGGGAAAAAGAGGAGCTGATACAAAGGGCTCAAGCAGAAAGAAAATATTTTGAAAATGATGATGGCAACATATGTACAAATGTGTTTGATAAAACTGATGTATGGATGGATTGTTAAAAGAGCTTTAAGAGACCCCCATAAAATGATTTATTAATAAAAACAAAAGAAAGAAGGAACCCAGGGACAAGGGAACAACAAGTGATCCAAAATTGGTGGTGAGGCGGGTGTAAGAGGCCTGGTAAGGCTTGATCAAGGACCATGTAACCGAGAGGAATTACTGAAACCCAAATGAAGGCTGAGCATGATAGTGGGACAAGAGGAAAGTAAAAGGAAATAGACATCAAAGAACAAAAGATCATATCATTATGAAGGAGGGGGAGTGCGGAGTGGAGACCCAAAGCCCATCTATAAGCAACTGGACATTCCCTTACAGAAGGGTCTCCGGGAGGAGACAAGCCAGTCAAGGTGCAGTTTAGTAACAATGAAATATACAACTTTCCTCTAATTCTTACATGCTTCCTCTCACCCAGTATCATTATACCTATTCTACCTTACAAATCCAGCTAGACCAGAGCATGCACATGGTACAGATCAGAGCTGGAAACACAGGGAATCCAGGCCAGATAAACCCCTCAGGACCAATAATGAGAGTAGCACTACCAGGAGGGGAAGGGGAAGGTTGGGGAGAAAAGGAGAACTGATCACAATGATCTATATATAACCCCCTCCCTGGGGGACAGACAACAAACAAGTGAAGGGAGATGTCAGACAGTGTAAGACATGGAAAAATAATAATAATTTATAAATTATCAAGGGTTCATGAGGGAAGGGGCACGGGGAGGGAGGGGAAAATTGAGAAGCTTATACCAAAGGCTCAAGTAGAAAGCAAATATTTTGAGAATGATGATGGCAACAAATGTACAAAAGTGCTTGACACAATGGATGGATGGATGGATTGTGAAAAGAGTTGTACCAGCCCCCAATAAAATGATTTTTAAAAAGAAAGAAAGAAGGAAAATAAGAATGCCGTTCTTCAAGTCACAGGCCCCAGTCACTGCTCTCTATCAGCTGCGCTGTCAAATACCTCCTGCCCAGGGAAAGATCTATTCTTAATGCGATGTGTTTGGTTCACCTTGTAATATTTCTCCTGCCAGGGCCTGACACTCTACTTCAAATTGCTCTCATTGCTTTTAAGGTTAATGTACAGGGTTTATTAAGGTTAATGTACACGGTTTATTTGGGAGTACAGGGAAACCCTTTTTTCTGTGCTCGTCTAACAGAGTCTCACAAATCGGAGGACTGAAAACTATAAAAATGTACTCTCACAGGGATGGAAGCTAGAAGTGTGAAGTCAAGTTGTCTTCAAGGCAGTTCTGACTCTGAAGGGCTCAGTCAGATTCTTCCCTTTCAGATCTCAGCAAGCTTGAAGAGGAGGCCTCTGCAGCACTTGATTTGTGCAGGCAAAAATCCAACCTCTGCCTTCATCTTTCCAGAGCCATCGACTGAAATTTTTGTTTGCCTGTGTCTCTTCCTGATTTATAAGGATACTGGTTGTGTAGTTTTAGGCCCACCCATGCTCCAGTGTGAGCTCATATTCCCTGATTATATCTGTAAAGGCCCGATTTGAAAATTAGATCACAGTAACAGGCACTAGGCCTTCAGACAATGAGCATGTCTTTGTGGGTGATACAAAGATCACCTTAAAGCAGCGGTTCTCAACCTGTGGGTCGCGACCCCTTTGGGGGGTCGAATGACCTTTTCACAGGGGTTGCCCAATTCATAAAAGTAGCAAAATTACAGTGATGAAGTAGCAACAAAAATAATTGTATGGTTAGGAGGTCACCACAGCATGAACGGTATTAAAGGGTCACAGCATTAGAAAGGTTGAGAATCACGTGAGTATCATTTCTAATGTGCAAATCAGAAATCTACTTTAGCGAACTCAAACTCTGCCATCAAGTTGATGCTGACTCACAGTGACCCTGTAGGACAGGGTAGAACTGCTCCTATGAGTTTCTGAGACTGTATCTGTTTGTGGAAGTAAAAAAACTCATGTTTTTTCCATGGAGTGGCTGGTGTTTTCAAACCGCTGGCCTTAGGGAATCACATCCCAAAGCATAACCACTATGCCAGCAGGACTCCTGACTCTTAGCTCAGTACTCTTTCCTTCTTCTTCACAGGTAAAATCACAGAGGTGCTCTCATCAGATTCAGTTGAGTCCTTGACTAAGCTGATTATCGTCAATGCCATCTACTTCAAAGGAAGTTGGGCCAAGCAGTTTAAACGAGAACATACCCACGAAAAACCCTTTAAAGTCAGCAAGGTGAATACCATTTACTAACGAAGGATATTTTTGCAAACAGTTTCTGTGTACATGGTGGTTTTACAACAAGGAGCTTTGACTTGATACACACCTGAGGGAGCTCAGCAGTTTGGCCCCAAGCCTGGGGACCTTCTCTCTTCCTTCTCCTACACTATCTCATCCAGGGGGTTGCACACCCCTAGGCCCTGTCCTGACTCCCTACAATCAACCTCTGCCCTTGGAATCACAAATTGCTCCAGCCTGAGACCCATCCTGGCCTCCTGGCCCTTCTGAGGTGGGATTCCCACCCCACAGTGTGAGCTCACAGGAGTAGGTCTCCTCTACCTGGAGGAGGCCAGAGACCAGGGTGATGTGATTCTGGGTGATTCTCTGAGGGCATCAGACGTGCTCTCCACCTGCTCTTCATTCCTGGCACACGGCTCTCTTCCTCCTGTGGCAAGGTGTGTGAGACACCACACCTACAGCCCCAAACAAAACCTCAAACTCACGGCCACTGAGGCCCTTCAGAATCACAGCAAGCCTGCACACGACCTAAGAGAACTGCCTCTTTGGGCTTTTGAGATGGCAAAGCTTTCTGGGAACAGAAAGCCTCGTCTTTGAAGCGGGGAGCAGTTATATGTTTGAATGGCTCTCCTTGTGGTTAGCAGCCCAAAGTATTAACTACTAAGCCACCAGACTCACTACTCACAATGCAGCCTGGAAGAAAAAGGAAGTATGTGAGCAAAGGACAAAACCTTTCTGCTCCTTCTGAGCTTCTCCCTGCCTATGCATTGTGGGAAACCTTGCTGCTCGGCCTGGTTGGACAGCACTTCGTGCTGTTTCCTGTAGCTAAAAGTCATGTGGAATCCGATCTCCCTTTCTAGTCTCTCCAGCCAAGAAAGACAAGCTAGACAGGCTTTACAATGGATGCTGAGTACACCATAGGATGTATGTGTTGTTATGAATTTTCCTTTGAGGTCCTTTCTTTGTAACTAAAACAAAACTCTCTCTACCCAGGATTTTTGTGTGAGACATTCACTGACTACAAAGGATTTATTGGAACAATAGTACATCCAATTGTTTACCTATTGCCTTTGACTTCTTTCTTGCCAGAGACAGCTGATTAAGTAGTTGCCCCAGAAGTGTAAGCCGCTAAGACATCTGAAAGATGACAGCTCTCAAGCAGATTAGTGAGGGATCAAAAGGGTTAAGTCATGCACTTCCAGGGAAATGTGTCCATGTCCAGTGCACATGTGCAGTGAGATGTGTGCGCTAGAGTCCATGGGAAGGGACAGCTAGGGCTATGCATTTGGGAATCCTATTTGTATTCCTCAGACTGGAGAAGACTCCAAGAAAAATAAGTTGAAGGAATTAGCCGTGGGTCCCGGGTATTCAGAGGTTGAGATCATGAAGACAAACCAAGAAAGGAGGAGCCCAGGAAGTTCCTCAGAACCCAGAAAGGGAGTGTTCTAGGCTTAGAGAGTACCAACTCCATTGATGTCCAGCCACCCCAGGTGTCACCTGTCATGTTTCAACTTCTCGTTTGTACCTTCCTTTGCAGCACGAGGAGAAGCCTGTTCAGATGATGTTTCAGGAATCTACCTTTAAACTGATTTACATACAAGAAATATTCACCCAAATTCTGGTGCTTCCCTATGTTGGACAGGAGCTGCATATGATCATCATGCTTCCAGATGAAAATACTGATTTGGAAATGGTAATGGGAGGATAAGGGACCCAGGTGGAACAGGGGTTAAGGGTTCAGCTTCTGATCAAAACATTGGTAGTTCTCTGCAAGAGACAGAGGTAGTCATGTCCCCTTTCTAATGATTGCAGCCTTCAAATCCACTCTGTCTTATGTCCTCACCAAGGGTCCAAACAGATGGCCTTACAACCATTTCATAATGTGTATTAACAGACTCTCAATCCCAGTGTCTGAAATTCCCACTTTCTCAATGGCCAAACATAATTAGCATCTCATCTTCTTACTTTTTTACCTTCTGATATATGGAGAGAGACAAGCAGTTAATGTATAAAGAACCATTTGGCAAGTTTTGAAATTATAATTTTCATATCCTAAGTCTCGCTGGATAGAACACACAACTTCTCCTTCCTTAGTATACTTCCTGCTAAGACTTTTCATATCCAACCCACTTTCATGGGGGTCCTGCTACACCAACTTCCTTCCACCTGATACTCAGCCACTTGGTTTCTAAACCATGATTGATTGATTCACTTACATCAAAGTCAATCTGCAAGTATTCTTCACTGCATGAGGATGAATGGCAACCCCTAAATCCACCATACCTTTGTGAGGGAAAGGCCAGCCCCCCACAATTAATTGCGGGTTCAATAGGCCTGGTTAGCTCAGTCAGTAGAGCATGAGACTCTTAATCTCAGGGTCATGGGTGTGAGCCCCACGTTGGGCACCATTTTTGGAGGGAAAGTCAAACCCCCCACTAATCGTGGGTTCTATAGGCGCAATTGTACAGTTGAGATATGTAAAGATTATAATAAAGTCATAGACAGCATGAGAGATAAAAGAAAAATTGAAGTAATGGAGGCAGACACATTTCATAGTCACATGCTCACCTCTGCCCCACTTGGTGGTCCATGTGGAGATGGGAGACCAGATGGCAGGAGGGAGGGGGAGGGGAAGAAAGACAAGGGGAAAGGGAACAGGGGATCGAGGACAGGGGAGAGGAAGGGAAGCCCACCAGAGGCAAAAGGGGATCTTTATTGCTAACCCAGGCTTATATACCTTTGAGAGGTCAAGAAAGCCCCCTAATTTCAGGTAAAGACATACGTTACAGGAAGGAGTTGTACTATAGGTTATACAGCAATGAGGGGATCAATCTAGGGATATACAGGCAACAGGAAGAGGAGGCATTGGGGGTATACATGTGACAAGAAGTGCGGATCCTAGATTCAGGATAGCAGCCTAACTTTGGATGTCACTGAGCAGGTTTGACCTGTTCTCTGTATCTCCATAGAAACCATTATCAGTAGGGTGTAAACCCTACTTCCAGGGACCAGACTAATGGTCACAAGCCTTTAGGGAGAAGTAGCCCATTGTCCTTAACAGCAGGGAGTGGGCCCCTCTTGTAGTGGGACCAGACAGTAGTCTGGCAACTGACTGCCTTCAGGGAGGTATCTTGCCAATCATTTACCATTAGTTGCAAGCAGTGTCCTAGGTCTAACATACATTTGGGAGAGACAACTTGGGAGAAATCTTTTTGTTTCCCACAATTCCCTCTTTTGTTTTATATATAAAATTCAAAAGAGCCACATGGGCGACATGGTTATTTTCTATATATTGAAAGCTGTCAAGGCAAAACTTCATGATCCAATTAATATAGCCAAAAATTCAGGCTTATAGGAAACATTTTGAATTCAGGCATGGGGGATAACATCCTCCTATGCCCATCCGCTATTGGAGGAATTTACAAGAGGGATTGGATGTCGCAGTGAGAAGTAGAGCCAATAGGAATGTCTATTTCTATAGGGAGATAGAATCAACCACTTGCTTACTTCAAGGCAGCATAGCTTAAGGGGAGAAACTGGAAATGATAGACTACTGCAGGAAAATGTACTTGGACTATATCTCCAACTACTAGAGTGGCGGTCTTCCTGCCATGGAATACTAATCTTCCAGATTCCCTCCGTACCAATAAGGAAATAAGTCCCAGTTTCATTTCCCTCTGCTAGTATCCCACATTTCCCCTTTCTGCACTAAGTTTAAAATTTAATAGTGTCACAGAGGCAACATGGTCGCTCTTCATATCTTTTAACTTTCTATAGAAGTGACCCGAGACTGCGAGCATCAAAATTATGATTATAGGTAAAACAGTCAGACTAGAACTTAAGTTATGTGAAATACTTTTAATCCAAGCTCAAAGATCCAATGCTTCCATGCCATTCACCAATTGTTTAATCATATAAGAGCCAGGAGTGTATAGAAAACATCCTTTTTTAGCTGATCAACATCTAATGAAATGTTTCCCTTAAGCCCTTGTAAATGTATCCTAATCAAATCCCAATCGTACAATGTCTTATTATATGGGTAAGGAGTTATAAAAAAATCAGTTACATTCCAATCACATTATAGCATTAATTGAGAAGTCAAAAATCTTGATCTTTCAGCAAAACAACAGTCTGAAATAATAGTCCAGTCACTATTTTATAAAATGTTCAGTTATGATAGAGTCCCAGAGTGTCCCTTAGACAGCATCAGCAATGGAAGAAATAGCTCAGTAGTCAGAGATTGCCATTCTTAGGAATCTGCGAGGTCTTCTTGATGTTTTAGATAAACTCAGTAGCAGGACAGTGTCAGGTCACACATCAGTTTCCCTCCTTTCTTCTGGGCCTGGCTGGCTGAAGAGAAATCCACCTATCTCCTTTGCCTGTGAAAATATAAACAAATAGCCCCTCTCTTTGGAGTGTCAGCAATCTGGAAAAAGAATTATGATTCAGCTTTTGCGGTTCGCTCGTGTCCTTCATCTTTCTCCAAATGTGATTGCGTCCTTCTAAGGGGAGTCCATCAGCTCTTTTCTACAACAACATAAATGCATAGCCCTTTCTCCAGGTGACAAATCCCAAACGAGATTTCCATCTTCTTAGGACTCCTTAGGATCAGCTTTCTCTGTAGAAGTGAAAGTGTGTTTATCTGCCCTAATTTTGTTACAAGCTTTCAGTAAGGAGAAAATTTTTTTTGGTTAAAATGACCAAATGAAATTTGTCATACATAAGATTACTCTTCTCCTCCTTCTGTTTTAACAATTCAGATTTCAAAGCATTGCTAGAAATCTCAGTTAACTTTCTAAGCTTTGAACCACTATACCTACTTAGATAAAGTTCATTGCTATGCAAATACCGGCTCTCAGCTCTCAGAGAATTTAGAGAGCTAATAATTGTGAGAACTTCTTACTAAACGGGATGATTTGAAAGCCTTTAAACATTCTTAATACATTTGTTTAGCTCTTCTTGAAGTAACTTACCAAACAGACAATTTTTCTCTAAGTTTACCAATAAGGTTACAGGCTCAATTAAGTCACTTTGCCCTTCAGACTTCTTACACTCTATGATTTTGCAATCTCGCAATATTCTGATCTGATTAACTTTTCTCATTCCTTCTGTGCTAGATTTGGAGGAAGTTAATGGGCAAGTCTTAGGCCCTTTGTGAATGCTCTAAGGAAAAAACCCCAAATCCAGAGTTTAAAGAAGCCCTTTCCTTCAATTCCTAATTCCATGTTGGGGCGCTGTTGTTTCCCTAGCATTCCAGAAGACCCCTTGATTTAAAGGGTGGTCAAACTTCTCAAGTACTCTTTCCTGATAAGTATAAATTTTTACTCTAGAAATTCAAGGAAACAAAAATTGGCTTAAGCAATCTTTCTTCTTTACAAGTCATGGTATATCAGATTTCAGCACTGCCTTAACTTCTTCTTCATCATCCTGATCAATAATTCCAACAACATCTTGAGAATTTAGGTTGGACTTTCCTAGTAAATATCCTATAATTCTTTTGGGTAGTGGGCCCCAAATACCCCTCTTAATAATTTCTGATTTAATCACAGATTTTGGCTTTTCCTCACAACTCTGATTAACTCCAGTATCAATTTTAATTCCCTGAGTACTTAGGTTAAATCTTCCTGATAAAAACTGCATTATTCTTTCAATAAGAGGCTCCTGCTTTTTGGAACCAACAGGTTGCCACAAGGGCTTCTGAGCCTTTTCTTGATTAGTCAAACTTAATGCAGTGAGAACAGAGGCTGGGCTTTTGCCTCTTTGGCCAGGTCTGTTCTCCTGCTGTGAGATTGGGTGATACCTGCTATTTCTGCTATTCAAAGATTCTTTTGCTGGGTTAGACAGAGTCTTTGCCTTCTGAGCTCTGTTAGGTGGGACTTGGATCAAGTTCCTTCCTCCATTTTCCCGTTGGGAAGGCTTTGCTACGGCAATCCTTTACTGTTGAATCTTGAGCGACATTGACTCGCCCAATGCCTTTCCTTCCTACAGCGGGGGCAAAGTTCAGGTTCATTTAAATCCAATCTTGATGGCCCTGGCCAATGCTCAAATGCAGGCTGCAGCTTGCTCTCTGTGGCCAGGCTGATTGTACTGCGCTGCCTACACTCTCTTTGAAGATAACCTGTCTTTCCACAACTAAAGCACTTTCTTCTAGGTCTGGTGTAATTTGCTAAGGCAGCTGCCATGAGGTTGGCCTTATATTCATCTGTCTCTATATTCCTGCATATTCTAAGATAATCTAACAGCATGCCCTGCTCCCTTTAGGGACACAAGGTATTTTTAAAGTGTTTATTAGAGAAATCATAAGACTGCTTATGCGGTAGATCTCTTACTGCCTGGACATTTTTTACACATTTGGAAATGGAATTTTCCAATAGGGACACAAAGTCAGCATAGGATTCGTCATTCTGCTGTCTTTCAGCCATGTGACTCGGCCTTCTCTCTTCTGATGGAATTATCTTTTCCCAGGCCCTTAGGCAAACCTTACATATCTGTAGTATTGTCTGTTCAGTAAACTGTAGTTGTGACTCAATTGTGATATAATTCTCATCCCCTAACAATTGATGAATTCCTATATCTATCCCATCCTCAGCATTTTTCTGAGCTTGTGAATGGGCTGTAAAATCCCACCTAATAGGATATTGTAAAAATTCTGAAGGGTAAAGACAAATTTTCGCCTGGACTGTCCAGTCATTAGGGGTCCAGCTCTCAGACTCTGCTAAAACCCTTATCATGCTAATTGCATAACGTGAGTCTGGGCCATAATCATTGACTGCCTGCTTGAGATCTTTTAGCAACTTATAAGTTAAGGCACAATGAATTCCTTGTTGGTATTTCCTGCAAGGCTCTCTGCTAACAACTCTAACAGGATAAGACATTCTAAATTCGAAATCTCCTTCTGCAATCCCTCTTTCTACCCTTGAAAGTAAAGATGCTTTCCTATACTTTGCCTCTTTGCTTCTATTTTCTGAGCTGGTCTTCTCTACTGGTATATCTTGAAGCTCCACTTCCAGAACTTCATCTTTTGTGTTACCTTTCCTAGTTTGCATTTCTTTGGAGCTAATCTCTCTACTTCCAGCACTGGCTTGGTCAATTGTTTTACAACCTCTGTCTTTTTTATACTAAATTCCAGCAGGGGAGCAGATGCTTTTACTGATGTTCCCTTCTGACTCGGGCTTAGTTTTTTCAGTTCTGTCTAAAATCTTCTCATCTGCCCAATACCCATTCTGCCCGCCTCTCACCAGATTTAAGTTTGGGTATCTTAGATGCTTCTCACTACTTTGCTGGTCTTGTTTCTTTGCTTTCCCTACCTTTGAAAGCAAGCGAGCTTCCTGGAATTGTTTAATAGCCTTGCTTTGGGTCTTGGAATTGGCTTCCTCTAGTGCTTTATCACCTTTAAACCTTCGGAGACTGCAGTCCCCTGAGGGCATATAGGCTTTGATCATGAGGTTTCCTTTAGAGACTTTAGATAACGAACCAATCCCTGCTTTTTCAGGTTTCCTAAAGTTTCCTCACCCAAATCATGCTCATTTACAGACACTTTAGCTTGCTTTTCTAGATTTGAATAGACACAAGACTTCTTACTAGACTGATAATCCTCATTCTCTTCCTCCTGAAAAGGTACTAAGACCATCTTAACTTGAACCAACAGAGAGCATGTCTCCACAGGGATACTCTCCCCATCTCTGTGTGCTTTTTTAAGTTTACAATGACTTCCTCTCAGGTCTCTAGATCAAAAGTTCCTTCCTCTGGGAACCATGGGTATTAGCTTTTTACTACTTTTAGAAAATATTACATATTTTTCTTTGTTACTTTTATACCCTGTCTTTTCATTAAGTGGATGAGCATAGTACCATAAGCTTCAGGTTTACATTTACCTTGCCCCATTATCCTCTTTAAAATGCTCATTGACTATTTCCACTACTTATCTGAAAATCCCCACACTGGATCCGCACGTCACACAATTTTCTGATTCACTCTATACATTCAAGTGGGGCTGTACAATTGTTACATGGGGTATAACTCCAAAGAGTTTTTTTTCTTACTGTCACGCATTGGGCACTATTTGTGGGGGAAAGGTCAGTCTCCCCATAACTAATTGCAGGTTCAATAGGTGCAATTTTACAGTTAATATATATAAAGATTATAGTAAAGTAATAGAGAGCATGAGAAATAAAAGAGAGATTGAAATAATTCCATGGTAGCATGAAATTACAGCATTTCATGGTAGCATGCTCACCTCAGCCCCGCTTGGTGGTCTACGTGGAGAGAGGAGGAGGGGAAGGAGGACAAGGGGAAAGGGAACAGGGGAGTGAGGACTTGGGGAGAGGAAGGGAAGAGCCAAGGCCAAGGCGGATCTTTATTGCTAACCCAGGCTTAGATATCTTTGGGGGGAGTGCAAGCCCACTAATTACAGGTAAAGACATACGTCACAGGAAGGGGTTGCACTATAGGTTATACGACAATGAGAGGGGAACAGTCTAGGGATATACATGTAATAGGAAGAGGAGGGTTGGGGGGTATACATGCGACAAGAAGGGAAGAACCTAGATTCAGGATGGCAGCCTAACTTTGGGTGTCACTGATCAGGATTGACCTATTCTCTGGATTTCCATAGAAACGATTATCAGTAGGGTGTAAACCCCACCTACAGGGACCAGACTAATGGACGCAAGCCTTTAGGGAGATGTAGCCCATTGTCCCTAACAACAGGGAGTGGGCCCCTATTGTGGTGGGACCAGATAGTAGTCTGGCAACTGATTGCCTTCAGGGAGATAACTTGACAATCATTTACCATTAGTTGGAAGCAGTGTCCTAAGTCTAACATAATTGGGGGAGATGAGTTGAGAGAAATCTTTCTGTTTCACACACACCTTCATGCTTAAAATTTCTTAAATTTGCCGAGTTTCCCCTTTCTCTTCTTCCCTGAGGCATCCAGACTAGAAGCTCTCTTGCCACCACTGAAATGCTGGAGGAGAACTTTCTCCTGTCCCTTCTCCCATCTTCTCCTCTCCCCAGCCACCTACCGCTACAGGAAACCTATTCTGAAGGTCTCTACCTGCTAATTGTATCTTATCATCACCATGATTATCAGATAATCAATGATTTGTTTTGGTAAATCCTTAAAAGACTGCCAAGTGTCAGGTACTATGCTGTGCAAGGAAGGAAAGATAACTGTTAATGCTATATATTTATGCACATCTCCTCTGTCATTATGATATGGTAGGACATCCTTGCCTGCTATCCACGTGTACTGTGAATCTTGAATAGAGATTTCAGCTGGGTGGCAGTGAAAGCGGATATTGCACATGAAATGAAGCACAGCATTGATGTATGTGCAGCCGTCCTCTCCCTGAGGGACTCTGAGCTTGTTTCTCCCTGAGAGGACAGCTTTAACTCAGTGGCTGGACTTCAGAAATCAAGGCTACCAAAGCAATAGCATCATCTGGATGGAGGGTTTCTCATTCCTGTATTTTCCGGGTCTCAGATGCCCATCTACATAGCCTCTAGTCTCAAATAGCTATGTTTTAAAAACAATTTTAGCGTGATATTATTTACATAAAATATAGTTCTTTTATTTATACATGTGGTTCAGTGGTTCTCAGTATATTCACTGTGGTGAATATCAGTAGTGAGTTTTAGACTATTTTGTCGTATTCACAAGAAGCCTTGTTTCTCTACCTCGTGTCACGTCCCTCCTGTCTGCCCCCATCATCCCAATCTAAACAACCTCAAATACACTCAATTCTGAGCTTTTATCCATGTGAGTCAGATCTGCACTGTGTGGTCCTATGGGCTGCCTTTTCTTGCTCAGCGTGGGGCTTTCCCCCTTACCCATGTTGCTCCACTCTCTCATTCCTTGTGATCAATATCTGTCTCCTGCTTATTAAAAATAAATAAACTCCATTGTATATACTGGGCATACCACATTTTGTTCCTAAAAAATCTAATATTTAAATGAATTAAATCCAATTAACAATGCAAATCTGCATGTGCACACTCAGCTTTCCAGCCCGGATGGCACTTTTGGCTTGTGGCCGCCATATTGCACAATGCTGATGGAGAGCATTGATATGACAGTCGAATGTTCTACTCAGTAAGTGTGCTCTCATTCTTAAAATCCCCACTCTCTTCTAGGTGGAAAACCAGCTGACGTATGAGAGATTCCAGGAGTGGACCAGAGCTGACACAGTGGGGGAAAGAAAGGTGGGAGTTTTCCTTCCTACATTTGAACTGGACGAAAGTTATGACCTGGAGAAGCTCCTCCCCACGTTGGGCATGGTCAATGCCTTTGACAGGAGCAGGGCAGACTTTTCTGGAATGTCGCAAAAGAAAGGATTGTTTGTCTCCAAGGTGACACACAAGGCGTTTGTGGAGGTCAATGAGGAGGGCACAGAGGCAGCCGCAGCCACGGCTGCTGTGATTCAACTGCGCTGTGCACAAAGAACCCCGAGGTTCTGTGCCGACCGCCCCTTCCTGTTCTTCATCCGGCACACCAAGACCAACTGCATCCTCTTCTGTGGACGGTTCTCCTCTCCGTAGGGGATGACCTCACTACATGTAGCGTGTCCTTCTCCTTTCCCCGATAAACCTTCTTTTCGACTACTTCCTACTGTGCCTAGAACTCCAGATGACCTTGTTAGTTGAGAGGGCACATTTCAGACATTAAAGGCTGGATTTTGAATCTCATGGTCAGAACTGTGTGTGTGTATTTGCATGGTAATCTTTTTCTCGGCTCTGCAATTGACATTTTCTGATTGCTTTGGTCTCTTTGGCAGAGATTGCACAGAGTCACTGTAACCCTTTGGCTTGCAGTCATGTGTCCTATGAATTCCTCAACCAGTGAAGGGATTTCAGCTGTCACAGGCCTGTCCCATGTCTGCCTTTGTGAAGAGAGCCCCTCTCTGTCCCAGCAGGACACTGTGTTTCTCTTCTCCAGGCTCACAGATATAAATATGCTTTTCCTCCAGACTCCATGGTATTATGATTATGTCCCACTGTTATTGGGAGGGTACAGAGTGAATGAAGAGCTAGCTGTGCTTAACTCTGTTCTAGGACTTTCTTTGAGCCCTTCAGAAACTTCCAAGAGGCAGGAAGAGGAGGTAACTCAGACTGAGTTCTCAGTCTTTTTCTCTGACGTGTATATTATTTTATTGGGACTGGCATGCAAAGAGATTTGTGAATAACCTACGTGTGCAAATACACACGTATTCCAGTTTTCCTCAAATGTTAACATTGGTAACAAGTGAAGTAACTACTTCCAAGTCAAGTAGCTTCAGACATGACGAGTAACTGCCTGATGACTTTCGTATTTCAGACATTAATAGAAGACAATGACAGTGATGGCTGCTTTACCTTCTTGTGCATCGTGCTCAAACTTGGGTTGCCATGTTCAGTGTCCCAGGAACAAGTTCACAAGTCAGTTTGAAGAGAACCAGCCATGCTGCCCTCTAGGGGCTGCCTGAAACACTTCTCCCACTGACCCTCTTAGAGCCCATAGGAGCGGGGCCTGGAGCTTAGCTGATGGAGCTCTTGCTGTCATTCTGTAGCTGCTGCACTCGCTGTCAGAACTGAGCTGTGCGGGCACAATGGGCCTGAGAAACGTGAAGAACTAGGGGATTCATCAGTGTCGTGATGAGGGAGAGAGAAGGCCCAATGGGCTTTTGGTTTAGTTGTCCTTATTGTTCCCCTCTGACTTCCACTTACGGGCTTTTAAAAAAAATCGGGCCAGGGGATGTGGGAAGAGGGCTCCAGGTGGGAATGGCCACATCAGTGGTCCACAAGTGCAGAGAGAGCCTCAAGTGTCACAGTTAGTGCTCGGAGCCTGATGCCACCTCTAACAAGCTCACCGTATGGGCACCAAATAAATAGGGGTGTACGTGGAATCCTGTCTCACTTGCAAGTGTCAAGATGTTTGGCTGCATTGGTACAAAGAAATACAGACTACATCTCTAGAAATTACAGATATGAATGCCAGTGATCCTGTTTCTTATAGATCCACCAAACAATAATTCTTAGACATGCAAAAGCAATCTCAATACACAGAAGATGATGTACATGCAATATAGTTAGGTCTACAATCTGATATCTTTAAGCCTCATACTGCCCCCAAAGTTAACCATTCTTTTGTGATATTCCCCACTCTCACCATTCCCACTTGACCAATCCTTTATCAGTTAGACCTGCAGAATTGAGCCTGGTTCTCCATTTCCTGTCAGATCTGAATTTATTCAAACAAGGAAGTTACACCTACCCATGGCAGTCAGGGACACATCATCCTCTTGTTCTTACAAAGCCTGCCTCCCCGCTCCCTGCTAGTTAATCCAGGTCCTGGAAATAAGCCCGTGTGGTCCTGCCTGACATGCAAAGAGTGTCCTCTTTGTCCCCTGGGTTGTGTGTAAGTACATGTGACTGGCAAACTGCTGTCAATCTCACATGTCTAGTGTTGGGTGTCATTTCCTAGTAACTGTGGGGCAAGGGCACCTTCACTATCAATGGGGAAGTAGGAGGGACCAGATCACATGCTCCATGCTCCCCGAGTATCTTGTGGTCTCCCTGAGTCAAGTTCTTCAGCTGCCTGTCACACTCTCTTCTAAAGAGCTGATGAGAGTGTTTCTTACATCCCACTAAAAGACACAAGCACTCAATGAATGCATCTATGCAATTTATGATACACACTAGAAAAGTATTTGTTATTTCTGGGTGAAACTATTGAGTTGGTTTCAACCCATGGCAATGGACTGAGACACTTCCCTATGTCCCATGCCATCCTCACGATTCTTCTTATTTTTGAAGCCACTGTTACAGCCAAGATGGGTCACTCCCTCTTGTCCAGAGCCTCTCGCTTTTTCGCTGCCTCTCCACTTTACATGATGTCCTTCTCCAGGGACTGTCCTCTCCTGACAACAAGTCCACAGTATGAGAAGCAGTCTTGCCATCCTTGCCTCTCAGGAGCACTCTTGCCATACTTCTTCCATGAAAGATAGCCTGGTCCTTTGAGGAGTCCATGGTACATTCAATATTCTTCTCCAGCACCACAATTCACAATGCAAATGCATCCATTCTCCTTTGGTCTTCCTTTTCAATGTCTAACTTTCACATGCATATGAGGAAGTTGAGAATCCCACCAATGTGCATATATTTATATGTTAAGTATTAAGGAAGCAGACAGACACTGAGCCTTTAATCATGTACTCCTTCAATGCAAGAACACTTTGTTCTAATGACCAGGCATTTTGTGACACTTACCTTCCACATGATCATTGAAAACAAAATGGGTGCATAAGCAAATGTGCTGAAGAAAGCTGATGGTGCCTGGCTATTAAAATATATAGCCTCTGGGGTTTTAAAGACTTGAAGATAAACAAGGGACCATCTAGCATGGAAGCAACAAAGGTCATGTGGAAGAAGCACAGCAGACTGTGTGATAACACAGTGTCGACAGGATCAAGTATCAGGCATCAGAAGACCAAAACAAACAATCATATAGATGAGAATGAGGGGCAGGGGGAGTGGAGACCCCAAACCCAACTGTAGACAATTGGACATCCCCTCATGGAAGGGTCATAAGGGAGAGATGAGCCAGCTAGGGTGCAGTAGAGCACAAGGAAACACAACTTTCCTTTAATTCTTAAATGCTTCCTCCTGGCCACTATCATGACCCCAGTTCTACCTTACAAACCCAGCTAGTCCAGAGCATGTACACTGGTACAGATAAGAGTTCTTGACACACAGAATCAAGGTCAGATAACCCTTCAGGAACAGTAATGGAGTAGTGATACCATGAGGGTAGAGGGAAAGTGGGGGCAAAGGGGGAGAAAGGGGGAACCAATTGCAATTATAGACATATAACAACCCCTTCACACACCTGCCCCACGGGAGGAACAACAGAAATGTGGGTGAAAATGATGATGGCAACATATGTACAAATGTGCTTGATACAATTGATGTATGGATTATTACAAGAGTTGAAAGAGCCCCCAATAAAATGATTTATAATAATAAAAAAAGAATGTAAAAAATGCCCCCCCTACAACCCCTCCCCACAAAGAGTTACCATTTCAGAAACCCACATGGCCAGTTTAACCCTTTTCAACAGGGTCACTGTGAGTGAGAACTAACTGGATCATGTCAAGACATGATAGTGGCTGTCATGTATGTGAACCCACTACATAGCCACATACTTTCAGCATTCAGTAGTGAGACTGGTAGGGAAAGCTGTCATACACATGCTCCTTCAGAAAGGGCAGGGCTGTGGCTTCAGGGGCAGAAGTCATACATTAGTCATGAAACCATGGCAATTCAGCCAGGCTTATACTGATCTCTGTTTTGAGGAAAATGAATGTTTCTTGTTGAGTCTCTTCTTGCCTTTGCTGTGAGTCATTCAATCCATTGTCTTCCTTGATTTGGGGTTCCATCTTCTGTGTTCCTGACCTCAGAGCTCTGAAATTTCTTTCTGTTTCTATAATGCATGGCCCATGCTTATCACTAAACTCCCCAGCCTGTTGCCTACTTTTAGAAAGAAGGGCTCAGAAATTTTTCTCTCACACTGGTCTCTTTTAGTCCAAATTGGAACCCCTCCTTTCAAGCTTTCCTGGGTTTTCTACCAACTAAAAATATATTTACTTACAGTGCAGAATCTGACTGCTGAAGGAGGAAGACATCAAGAGTCATGTAGCAAGAGAGACAAGAGAGTCTGTGAGGCACTGCGTCCATCTTTGTATGATTTTAGCCAGGTGGATTTTACTGTCACAGCCTTGGTGGGATCTGGACTCTTAGATCCATGCCTTGGATTTGGCCTTTGCCCTGAGGTGAGTCCTGGCTTACAGCATGGTTCACCAGCTGGAGAGTTTGGGAATAAAAACGAGTTTCCACCCAGGTCATCTTGGTCTCAACCAGTTTCTCCATCTTCTGCTTGAAAGCTGATCAATCTGTTTTTAAGCATATATTTTGCCCACACCCAAACCCTACTTTGTCCTTTTGTCATTGTTTCTGTTAGGTGCCACAGATTGGTTCAGACCCAGGTCAACCCAAGCACAATAACAAGAAATGTCTCCCTCATCCTGTGCCATTCTCACAGAAGTCTTGAAAAGTAAGCATTCCTTTGCTAACCAAAAGATGAAAGCCCCAAACTATGAGACACACCCCTGGTGCTCTGCTTCTGTCAACAGCCGAGCTTTGGAAACCCAATGAGCAATTCCACTCTCCCCTTCAGATTTGCTTTCAGTGAGAACGACTCAATAACAGCGGGGTAAGCCTTCTTTTTCATCTTTGGCAGCTTAACAAGGCAATTGGCACTTGGAACAACAGTCTGAGAAATCTTATCCCAATCATGAGTCTGCTGGGGAGATTTCCCAATTTTTCTCTTCCTGTAGAGAGAGCCTCCCTTGTTCTTGTGTCAATACATGACACGGGCCCACAGTTTTCCAGCTCCATAGTAATTTCTTCTTTGTCCTTCCAGCGGTCTCCAGATTTGTCTTTCCTTTCAGCCTCTCCTGGTCATTTGTTCTTAAGACAATGCCACATGTTTTAGACTTTTGTTATGGCAGAATGTCCCTTTTAAGCACTATTGGTACCTGTGGTATCAAAAGTCTGTGTCTCAAAATATCAATGTGATTATTTTTAGATTCTATGGGTGGACGAAGGAATCCTTGTGGCGTAATGGGTTATACATTGGGCTGTTAACCGCC